CTGAAACCTGTCCACCATGGGTGACCCTGCTGGTATTTAAAATACTGGTGTCATAGCTTTCAGAATCACAGCAATTCATAAGCCACCACAGTACGACAAACTGACAGACGAGTGGTGGTATCCCCATCTTACAGACGTGGAAATCAGTGTTCAAAAAGGCTGAATAACAACTTCCTTTGAGTTCTTTCTTACCATAAACTGGTAATGTAGAAGGCCTCATGCTCAGGCCAAGGTGTATTTGAAAATAGATTATGACACTGTAGGAGAAGCACTAGACAACTAGCTGAAAGCTCTGCAGTTCAAACCCACCAGCCACTCCTTGGAAACCTTACACAAGGTTGCTCTAAGTGAAAACCAACTTTGTGACACTTAACAAAAACAGCCAACCAGGGAATTTGATTGGGCACGCCCTTAATGGAAACTGAGGTACTAGGGCCTCGTGGTCATGAGTCATACTCCAATCTTGGTAACCAGAGGGCCCTAGAACCAATCCTGTAAAGTTCCTAATCTGCAGTAGTGTAGGTATCCTGATCATGATCTCTGTCGCTTACATAGTCCCATCTTTGACAGTGATGAATTCATCTGCCATCAATAATAATTTTGTAATGAATTTCCTTTGCTTTCTATGTTCTGTAATTAGCTACATGGTCATGAATCCTCTGGACACCATTATGGCCTCATGATTTGTCTTTGTCTTGTTTAAGATTTAATAAAAGAGTTGATAAAAAAATATTTGAATTTGGGATCTTTTTTCCCCCAGAACAGAATCCTGTAGCAAAAGTAATGGGTAGCCAGGTGAGGTATGTGGGGGGTGGGAACAGCTGAGAGCTTGGGAACCTGCGTGACTCCAACCCAGTCAGTTCAGAAGAGCCTTGAGGAACCCAGTGTTAGCAATGGAGTGGAAGAAGGGGATTACAAATCCGAGATGAAGTTCCCAGTTCACAGATGAGACCCAGTCCCATCTGAGACCCTGCTGTGAGGATTGATTTGCTGTGTGGATGAGCAGGTGACTCTCAAAAAGACTGGAATTTCCTGTATTTGTATGAGTCTCTGGAGTCTTGGTGTCAGGCTGTGGGTTTAATGCGCTGGACTACAAGGCCGGTGGTTCAAGCTCACCAGCTGCTCCTGGAGAGGGTGTTAAAATATAGGCATGTGGGTCTCAATCTAACTTATTGAACCAACTATGTTTTGGTTTGTTTTTTTTTCCCCCACTGTCTATTCTTATATGCAATTGCCCAGGTCACTTGGCAGGGATTCATCCTCTGGTACACAGTCAGTGGCAGGCAGGCAGTCGGATACAATCCTGTTTCTTGTAGGCTTCCCAACTCAGGGTAGAGATTCCAGCAGGCATGGGAGGTGCTTTGTGTATGCAGATGCATGCAGTTCCCTTCCTTTCATCAGGACTGTGTTCACCCATTCAATCAATTGGTTAGTGGTATTTTCAATAAAGGATGATACTATGAAATGGCCATTGTCCTCTAAAGGTTTAATAACTATGCATGTAGTCAATTATAAAATGCATTTTTTGTTTGTTTGTTTTTGCATTTTAATGTCTCCAAGTGGGGTCGTGTTTTAGTTGATCATACCTTAGGATTTTTCATAATGTTTGTTTTTAAATGTTTTATTGTGGATTATGTGATAGTTTACATGGGAGAGCATTAGCTTTACATTTATCTTATCATATATCATTACATTACCATGGTTTCAATCCCCTCCATGCATCATCAACCAACCAAAGGGTATACCCTGTAAGCCTGCCCACCCGCAGGTCGTCAGCACACAACCCCTCTCCCTCTCTGGGTCTAGAGTCCCCAGCCACTCCATCTCTCTACATCATCTTCTCTGCCTCCATCTCTGGCGTCACTGCTTCTCTGGGTAGGGTCCCACACTCTGCTCTTCTCCCTTGATGGTCCCAAGGACCTCTGCTCCTGGACAGCAAAGTCAACCACTCCCCTCCTTTTGCTACAAAACATCTACCTTTACATTTCCAACCCTCACAGTCAGTCCTGATAGCAATTATTCATTATTGTATCACAAGAGACCTATCCCTATCTCCTTTCATCAGCCCCGCCCCAACAGATTGGATACTACTCAGTGGAGATTCTACCTTCCTCCACACCTCTGGATCTAGGTTCCCTCTTGAAAGCTTGTAAGTCAGTCACTTCTTGACTTTGTAGTCCCTGCCCCCCCCTTCCCATTTTGGGTAGCCAATGTCCAAGTTGCCCATCCCTGTCTACCCTGTGTATCGACGGGGTGGGAATGGTCTTTGCTGTAGAGATTTGTTCCCACTTTTGAGCTACTGCATCATCCATAGGTATAGGTCAAGTTCATCAAATTGTATCAGATTATTCTTTTTTTCCTCTTCTTTCTTCTTCTGGTTCAGCTCTGATCATCCAGTCATTGAAGCCAGGTCAAGTGGGTATTATCTGCAAGTGTGGGTGTTCTTGTGCATATGCCATCTCTTCTTATCAGCTGGATGCTTCACTCTCCACTCTAGTCCTCTGTGGCTATGTCACTGACTCTGGGCCCAGGAATCCCCAGGTCTTGCCACACCAGGTTTCCACCCGGGTTCACAGCTAAGAGGTTTTTGTTTGTTTTTATCTTTTGTCCTCAGTTGTATGTCCTGGTGGCACAGTGGTTAAAACATTCCACTGCTAATGGAAAGGTTGGCAGTTTGAACCCACCAGTGCTCCATGGAAGAAAAAGGTGGCAGTCTGCTTCCTTAAAGTTTTACCCCCTAGAAACCTTAGGGAGCTGTTCTACTCTGCCGCACGGAGTTTCTCTGAGTTGGAATCACCATGATGGCAAGATAAAATATTGGTGCCGCTTAAAATCAATTGTACCATCAAATGCCTGAAACACCACAGTTGACAAAGGAACAACATACTTGTATAAACAGGTGGCTGCGGACCTTAAGGTCAGCGGTTGGAAACTACCAGCTGTTCCGCGGGAGAAAGATGAGGCTTTCTACTCCTGTAAAGATTTACACCCTCGGAAACCCTGTACAGGGTCACTATGGGTCAGAACCGACTCGACGGCACTTAACAACAACAAAAAATGGAGCTCTGGTAGCGTAGTGGTTATGAATCGGGCTGTGAACCTTAAGGTCAGCAGTTTGAAACTACCAGCTGCTGCGCAGGAGAAAGATGAGGCTTTCTGCTCCCGTAAAGATTTACAGCCTCGGATACCCTGTATAGGGCTATGGGTTCGGAACCGACTCAACGGCACTTAACAACAATAACAATGTAAACCTTACTCTGTTCCTGCTATATGGGTAGTTTTGTATTCCTGCTTCATTAATCTATGTAAACTCAAATGTTACCTACCCAAGCCTACCACCCAATCTGAATTCAAGGTCCCTCCTCTGGCTTCCTGTGCTTGCCTCTGTCCCACACTTATCACAGTGTATTACGTTTGTCCTGTACTAATCTGCATCACTTTTTAGCTGGTTCTGAGTTCCTTGAAAACAAAGACAATCTTGCACTTCCATTGCTTTAGTGCCTAGTTGTTGAATAAATGAATGGACCAGATGTTGTGATGTAGGATTTCAGGAGAATAGCTGAGCACAGGGCTGGAGAGGTCAGAGAAGGCTTCATGAAGGGAAGAAAATATGAGCTATTCTAGAAGGATGGCCAATAGAATCTCCCAATGCAATGAGGATGAGAAGGGGCCAGTGCTAGGACCCTCAGCTCTCCAACTGCGTAGACCCTGTGACGGTTGTCACCTGATGGAATTTTGTGTTTGCATTTCAGGAATCTGTGGAGTTTGATTGATCACGATCCTTAATAATGTACTCTGAGGGCTAAAACAATAGATGCTCAGATTCCGAGGTAAATTGAGCTTCAGTGAGCTCTCACAGGAAGCCCTTGAGTGTACTTAGACATTGTGGTTTATACCTCAGAGCTTCCTGCCAGAGCTTAACAAGGCTTTACAAGTCTGAGAAGCCAGGGAGAAGGTAGGCTGATGGGACCACAAACATGGCTCTAACATTTCAAAGCAGGTGCCTTCTCACTGCTGATTTTAGAACTTCAACTGAAAACTGTTTTTTCTTCCAACTTCCCCCAAGTACAGATAACATGACTGCTAGCTGGCAATGGAATCTGTCCTTTTAATAATGGTCCTTTAAGATGATTAGAATTCAATTCAATTGAGTCCTCTCTTAACCTGTCCTTTTGTGGCGTGTCAGACGGGCTCATGGCTCCTCTAACATCTTTGGCTGTTCCTCTTTTGAGAGGTGACCATTGGGTTCATTGTGGCTCTGTGGGAGCAATCAAAGAAATGAAACCCAAATGATTGCATTTCCTGGTGCCTCTTGTAAAAGTTTCTGCCTAGCATTCTCAATGCATGTAACAAACAAATAGACTCTCAGGCCCTGCTTTGCAGTTTAGACCTGGGGAGCATGTCCAGGTTATTCTGATGAAGGTTAAGGTGGCCTGTGTGACTTGAGCTGATTACATCTTACCCTGTTGTTATAGCAACCAACATCCTCTCCTTTATGATGTGCTTCTTTCTACAATGAGCAGACACGGGCTATATGTCAAAACTTTTATTTCATGTTTACTTACAAAACTGTAGGCAAGTACCAACAAGGGCTCACGTGAAACCCAAGAGTCTCTCAGGAGATAAACTGTTTTTAGTTAGACACAGGCACAACACCTCCCTTCCCCCACCCCCTTGACTTCACAAATCTGCACATGGTCTCAGAGGAAGATGGAAGAGTTTTATGATTTTTGTGCTTGGTCACCCAACCTAAGAAGCACACTTTTCTTATTTGTCCCTCCCTGGCATGGAGACACTGCAGATATTAATCCACATGGCTGAGTTAGAAGTTCCAGATATGGTTGTGACCCACATTCTTCAAAAAGGAATAATATTCTACACGTTGAAAACACTTAGTGGTAGGCCAGGTGTGTTTTTGCTAGAAAAGATTGGTTTCTACAATCTTTTTTTTTTTTTTTTTGGTAAATACAGGAAGGGGTCACCCATTTCAGGAGATAGAATTATGAGTATTCTGTAGCCCCAGGGGGGTGTTTCTGTTGAACTCGAGGTCTGGGGAGGGGTGGGCCCTTCTGCTGGTGAACTTGTGTCCCTGTTGGAGGAGGATTAGGTCTAGTCTGCTGGCGGCGCTGGGCTTGGTGGCCAACAGGCCTGGGGTAATGATCAGGTGCCTGGGAACGATGGCCAGGTGGTGGAGGAGGTTGGGAAACTGCTGGGGTTTGAGAAGTGGAGCCTGGATTGTGGTGGGACTTCCGGACCCTTTCTTCAGTGGTCATTTTGTGAGCTCTTATCTCCACTTCCTCATCTGCAAAATAAAACCTCAGAAGAATTCACTGTGGTAAGATACCATCAATGGAAATACTTACTGAGCATCTCCTGTGTAAAAGTTGTCATGTTGGTTGTTTTGAAGGATATTCTGAGGAAGAGAAATTACCCTCCCCTCTGAGAGCTCTGGGTCTTACAGGGGAGAGAAAAAATGCACGTGGATAAAGTAGAATGTGAACCCAGAGCTTCAGAGGACAAAGGGAACCATAAGCGAGAAGATACGGATGGAGAGCTATGCATCTCAGTCTCTTGGGAGCAGAGTGAGCCTTCAGGCCCCAGAACTCTGCTTCTACACCATAGAGACCAAGTTCAGAAAGCCAACACCTTGTATTTAGAGCCTCTTATAACAACAACAATAATACAATATTATTATAATACAACATGGGAGTCCTGATGTGGTGCTGTGGGTTAATGCGCTGGACTGCAAAGTCAGTTTGATCGGCCAGGTCAGAGTTCAAGCTCACCAGCCACTCCTTGGAAGCCCTATACAAGATTGCTATGGGTCCGAACCGATTCCATGGCACTTAACAACAACATAATGCAATAATTAACAGTGATAGAAGACATTGTTGTTGTTGTTAGCTGTTGAGTTGTCCCCGGACTCATGACAACTCCATGCACAATGGAATTGGACCACCGTGATCCTCGGGGTTTACATTGGCTGATTTTCAGAAGTAGAGCACCAGGCCTTTCTTCCTAGTCTGTCTTAGTCTAGACGCTTTGCTGAAACCCGGTCAGCAACATAGTAATACTCAAACCTCCAATGACTCTACAACTAAAGTACTACTACTCCCCAATAGAGTATTCAATTGACTTAAGGTCGATTTTGACTGCTGGGGCCTCCATGTGTGTCAGAGTAGAACTGTATTCCAAAGGATTTACAATGGATTTTTTGGAAGTAGATTGCCAGGCTCTTCTTTCAAAGCACTTCTGAGTGGATGCAAACCTTCAGCCTTTCAGTTAGCCGTCAAGCATACTACTAACTAAACTCCTTCAGATGTTTCTCTGTGTTAGATCTGCCTTTCCCCAAATCCCCATATTCTGGTGAGGATTTGAAAAGACGCAAGAGAAAAGAATTTTTAGCCCTTAGAAATTTATTAGTTCCTCAGAAATTCATAAGCTAATTATATCTTCTTGGGCTTGGGAGGCAAAGAATCTCTCCTCTTCCTCAGCCCTTCTGGGATTTTTTGCTGCATGTGACTCCGGTCTGTGAAGACAGGCCAACAATAATAATAATGGCTGTCTTAAAATCACATGGGACATTTGTGAGGATACTCAGCTGCTATAGGCCTGGAGGGCCCCACTAGCCCCCTCTGGCTATAAGTTAGGTATTCCAGTCTCTGAGCCCTGGGCCATCCTTTCAGTGTACTCCAGAGGCAGGCAGGAAGAGGAGATTCCCCAGGGGGTAAACTAGTGATTGGGTACATCTTTATAGGGATGGGCACCTCTCTTCACGTCCTGTGATTGTGGGGTGATGCTGTCAGTACAGACTGCCTCCTAGCACCAAGCTGCTTTCAGTGTTAAGATTCAAAGTTAGACCCTGTAGTTTTGATGCATAAGTGGCTGATGTGTTCTAAGAGCAAAACGGAAAAGGCACAAAAAGCAATAGACATATTCTGTGTGCTATGGAGGTATTCTGAGGCAGCTGAGGTCATGTCTGGAGAGGATTTTGATCTTGATCCCCAGGCCCAGTGGGGACACTGGGAAGTCCTTCTTCACCTCCTGTTTGGAGTCCTGGTGTGGCACTGTGGGATAAAGTGCTGGACCACAAGCTCAGTGGTTCAAACTCACCAGCCACTCCTTGAAACTCCCATATATGGTTGCTATGAGTCAGAACTGACTTGACAGCATTTTACAGCAACAATAGCATTGCAAGTTTGAGCAGGTTACTTTTTTACTCATCTGTTCATTCTCATAAAAAATATATATATTTCTATAAATTGTGATAAAATATGTAAAACAAAACATTTTCCATTTCAGCCATTTTTAGTTGGACAATTCAGAGATATTCTGTGCAACCATCACCACTATGCAATTCCAAAATGGTTTTCAGCATCCTCCAGAGGGACTCAGCTTCTCTTAAGCAGGAACTCCCTAGTTCTCCTCTCCCCTTCTCCCTGCCCCTGGTGGTGGTTGTGGTTGTGTGCCTTCAAGTCAGTTTTGACTCACAATGAATCTGTGATAAGATTTCCAATGCTATAAATCTTTATGGGAGCAAAATGCCTCATCTTTCTCCCTCAAGGAGGTTAGTGGATTTAAACTGCTGACCTTGTGTTTAGCAGTCAAATGCATAACCCACTACACCACCAGAGCACCTCCATCCTGCTCCTGTTGTTGTTATTAAGTGCCGTTGAGTCAGTTCTTATTCATTGTGACCCTGTATAGGGTTTTTGAGGAGCAGTTGGCCTTGTGGCTCAAACTGACCTTGCAGTCCAGCACATTATCCTGCAGCACATCAGGACTCTAATCATTAATAAACATTAGTCTCTATACATTTGGCTGTTCTAGATATCTCATCTAAATAGGATCACATAGTATTTGCCCTTTCATGTTTCTTTCCGCTCAGCATAATGTGTCAGTGTATCAAAACCTCATTACTATTTATGGCTGAATACATCCATCCCTCTTTTTGTTCACTTGTTCTTCCGACATTTATTCCCCACCCGTAGGAGTCCTGGTGTGGTGCTGTGAGATCATCAGCACTGTACTGTGAACCACAAGATCAGCAATTTAAACCCATAGGGGTCACTATGAGTGGGAACTGGCTCAATCGTACTTCACAATAGGTACCAGATAATATACAGTGACTCAAACACACTTTCCCCCCAAACACAAACGAAACCCACTAATATGTCAGCTCCAACTAGTAGCAACCCTTTAAGGGTTCTACTCTTAATGGGAACAGATTGTGTTATCTTTCTCCTACAGAGTGACTGGTGGGTTTGAACCACAGACCTTGTAGTTAGCAGCCCAACACTTAACCTACTGCATTACCAGCGCTCCTTAACACTCTCCCAGGAAGCCTAAAACCAACTACAAGTATATCTCATTTTATTAAACTTTCCAGAGACTGTGGATTTTGTTTTGTTTTATATGTTGTTTTTTGTTTTGTTTTGTTATTTTACAAATTGAAGATTTGTGGAAACCCTCCTTCAGGCAAATCTATCAGTGCCATTTTTCCAACAGAATGTATTCACTTCTTATCTATGTGTTCCATTTTGATCCTTCTCCCAATATCTCAAACCTCTTCAAAATGCCACTACACATGTACTAGACTACAGTATAGTGTAAACCTAACTTGAACCTGCATTGTGTGTCTCACTTTATTGCGGTAGCCTGGAAGCAGACCTGCAATATCTCTGAGGTAGACTCATCAGGACTATGTTTCACATAGGAACCTCCTGTTATGGCCCAGGGCCACCAGTTATTGTTATAAAGTGTCGTCAAGTTGGTTCTGACCCATAGAAACCCTGTATAGGGTTTCCAAGGAGCACCTGGTGAGCTTGAACCACCAGTCTTGCAGTTCAAACAGCTTTGCAGTCTGACGCATTAACCCACAGCGCCACACCAGGACTCCAAAGTGCAGGCAAAACCCCACATGAGTTCCTGGAGAAGGGGGTGGTGTGACCTCAGAGTGGGTTGAATAATCTGCCCATTCACAGCAGGACTAAGGCCCCCTCCTTCAGTGTTGGTCCCTCTGACTGGGCCCAGCAAGCCCAAAACAGCCAAGTCGGCTAACTGCCTAAACAACTGCTCCAAGAGATTCCTCCAGGCTCATGGTCCTCCCTCAATTGAAACTCCTGGCCTCCTTGTTAACCCAGGGCCAGGACTAGGATGAGGCAAACAAAGAGTTTAGGATGCAAAATGTAAGGAGGGGGCTCACAAAGCTGTGTAAGTATAAGCTCATCCACAAGTGTGCTCCTCCTTATCTGGGATCCTTGTTTCCTGACCCAAGTTCCTAACTTGTGGGTCATTGTTGTTGTTGTGAAGTGCCGTTGAGTCAGTTCTGACCCATAGAAACCCTGTGCAGGGTTTCCAAGAAGCACCTGGTGAGCTTGAACCACCAATCTTGCAGTTCAAACGGCTTTGCAGTCTGACGCATTAATCCACAGTGCCACAATAGGATTTGGTAAGTAATTTAACCTCATTGAGCTTCAATTTCCTGTCTGTCTTAATTGCATCTGTCTCATGAGATGGTGTCCTGGTGTGGTGTCCTAGGATAAGCACTCGACCTCAAGGTTAGTTTGAACTGCAAGGTCAGTGGTTCAAACTCACCTGCCATTCTTCGGAAACCTTATACAGGGTCGCTATGAGTCAGAACCAACTCGACGGCACTTAACAACAACAATCTCACGAGCTAAAGGATATAAAGCTTGGAGATTGGTGCCTGGTGCATGTAAGTGCATTGTCAGCATGGACTATTCATGTTTTCCGTGTCAGCCTGGTGAGAGCAGAGATTGCCTTGTCGCACAGTTGTGTGTGGGGCCCATCTTGGAGGAATACGTGGGTGGTAGAGAAAAGGCCTTTATAGGGATGAGGACCAAGCACAATCTGAGCAAGGTGCAGAGGTGAGGATGCCATGCGTGTGACTCAACAAGCAATTCCATTTCACTGGGATGGCAAGTGTATAAAGGGTGGTTAGAAGAATGGTACTCAGTTTAGAGATGAATCAGGTGGGTCGGATGCAGGGTGGAGAGGTCCTAGCCTGAAGGGATGGCTGAGGGAGAGCTGAAGACAGAGTCTGAAGCAAGGAAGCCAAATCCAAATGATACCCAGATGCCTTAGAGTTGATTCCAACAACTGGCAACCCTATGTGTGTCAGAGTAGAACAATGTTCCATAAGGCTTTTAATTGCCAGGCATTTCTTCTGAGGTACCTCTGGAGGGACCTGGTTCTCCAACCTAGTTAGAGTCTTTGCTCTTCCAAGGGACCCTAAAGAGAACAAGGCCCAAAGGCCTTGTCTGGGAGGTATAAGTGGAGTCCTGGTGCGGCACTGTTGGATAAGCACTGGACTGCTCTGGTAGTATAGTGGTTATGAGTCAGGCCGCTAAGCTCAAGGTCAGCAGTTCAAAACTACCAGTGGTTCCACAGGAAAAAGATGAGGCTTTCTGCTTTCGTAAAGATTTATAGCCTCGGAAACCCTACACAGGGTCGATGTGAGTCAGAACTGACTCCACAGCACACCACCACCACCGCCGCGGCTAACTGAAAGTTGGCAGTTCAAACCCACTAGCCTCTCTTTGGAAACCCTATACAGGGTCATTATGAGTTGGAACCGACTCGACATCACTTAACAACAAGAGAAAGAGCTAACACGGATGTCCTGGACCTGCTTTGAGAAAGGTCCAACACATCTCAGGGGCAGCGGTGGCTCTACATTAAGTCCTGCCATTTTCTCAGTCCTTCCTGTTCATCTTCTTGCAAAGGACCAAATTCTGCTGTGAATGTGCAAACCCCAAGGGGCCTGAGTGCATGTCCTGTTAGGGACTGGACCTCTCTTTGTGGGCCTGCCTTCATGATATGACCTCGACAACCCCAACCCAGCACTGAGGGCAACACCTGGATCTGGCATTTCTGAATAAATTGCTTTAGGGGGCCTGGAAGCTTCTTTAACATATTTCCTCAAATAATGAAGGGGGCGCAAAGCCAGCTGGTTTTAGAAATCACCTGGTTTCCTGTGAATGCCTGGATGTACTAAAATGATTATACCTGTAATCCTTGAAAGTTGGTTCTGAACACACTTTAGGTCACCTCCTCAGGAAAGGACAAGGATGTTTGTTCTTAGAAATGATATTTTGAAGCCTTTCTTTCTTTCTATGCAGAGACGGAAAGAAAGACTTATACAAGATACGTCCACAAAGCCTTGCTTCCAGCCAGCCTTGAGTGGTGGGTTCCTAAAAGGGCAAACTGGATCCAGTTTCTCAAAACTCCTTCATTGTCAACACCAAGAATTTGTTTTTCAAAACTAAACCAGCCACAAAATAGAACTGACTATCACCATGGTTGAGAGTTCTGGTGTGGCACTGTGGGTTAATGCGCTAGAATGCAAAGTCGGTTTGAACCACAAGGTCGGTGATTCAAACTCACCAGCCACTCCTCAGAAAGCCTATACAGGGTTAGAACTGACTTAAAGATGCTTAACTACAACATCACCACTGTTTACAGCCCCACCAACCAGAAACTGCCCAGCTCCCTTCTTCTCTTACCCGACTCCATGTAGTTACTTTGAGGGTGTTGCCAAGACTTGTGGTGGACAGAAGAGGGGAAGCTTACCATTTCTCCCACTGCCTTGTTTTTTCTTTTTGCTGATGTAGAAAATGAGCAGCGCCACAAAGATGAAAAAGAGAACTCCTCCTCCAATGATGGTGCTCATGAGATAGATATTCAGACCTTCCTCTGTAGGAAGAGAAGTGGACAGTGGCCTTGGACTGAGGGGCTACTTGATTGTTCTAGTCAAAGACCATCATCCTTCCCACATAAAGTTGATAAAAGAGCTCAGTGGGGCTTTCAGCCTCGTAAAAGTCAAGCTACTGAAGATTTAGGATTTGTTAATTATTGAAAGAGCCGTGTAAACTCCCTTGGAAAACTCCTTCAGGGACAATACTCCTGGATTCTTCATGTTCCTAGCAGCTATCTGCCTTCCCCCATCTGACTCAACCTAAGATCACCTCTAGTTTCAGAGGAGGCCCAAAGCGGAAGGCTGAGATGCCCACAGTCAGTGTCTGCCTACAAGGTCCTCTAAAAATTCCTTGGTCTCCATTTCTGCACTGTGTCTATAGCTCTCATTTCTGGCTGCTCTCCTTCACCAAGAGGTTTGTTTGGAGTTTTTTTTTTTTTTCCCTCTCAACTTCTTGATTAGGTAGTTTCTAGGCACTCAGGGAAAATATTTTACATGCCCAGCATTCCCTCCCAGATTTCCTCTTGGACTTGGACTTCACCTCCTCAACTCTCAGCGGCTATTCAATAATGAAGAAAGCAATGACATTGGTGTTAAGAGAGTCTAAGCAAGAGCTGTGTGACCTTTGACAAGTTCTCTACCTCTCTGAGCCTGTTTCCTTCTTTGTCAAATGGAGATCATGAAACCTACATCACAAGGAGGCTGTTGGGAGTCAGACAGACAGTGGCTAAGAAAATGCTTTGTAAACTGTAAAACAGTTTATAAAAACTAGGTCCTATTCCTGTTAGCACTCTTTGTACTGGCGTTTTTGTGAGGGGTGCAGGGCTGGCTGGCCTCTGTGAGTCAAGAGCTGGGGTCAAAGGATTGTTACATTCAGAGAACAAACCGATGCTCCACCAGCCTCAGCAATACAAAAGAAGCAACCTCTTCAGAGGAACATTTCTGGGAAAGGTAACTGTCTTACACGAAGCGAAGCTCTGGATTGACCCCCAAAGGGGCAGGTCAGAGGAACAGAAACCAAACTTGGTGAATTTACAAACTGCAGTGCTGTGTTGCTCTCCAGCTTCCCTTTTTCAAGTCTCTCTCTGACTGACCCTCTCTTGGCCTGCCAGGGTAAGAGACAATATGTGTTCTGTGGGTAAAAGGGTTTCCATGACAGAAACAGGCATAATCGTAAATTGCCATCAGCTGAGCTGAGAAAGGATGTGGGGTCTTTTAGGCCCTGCTGGCTTGGAATGGAGGCAGGGGCAGCTTGAGTTCATCTCATGCTGAGCGCAGGGCATCCCAGGATTTGGCCCAGGTGGAGCAGGGCAGGGGACACGTGGCTCTCAGTGTCCTCTGCCAAGACTGCCACACACTCATCTTGGGCACACTTAGGAAGAAGAAAACTCCTTTCACAATCTGGTGTTGGGTTCATCCAACAGCACAGTCCTCTGGGGCAGCTGGGGACTCTCCAGGTGGATGCATTCCAACTGATCTCAGGGAGGGCTGCTGTGGCTCTGACATTAAGTCCTTGCATTCTCTTAGTCCAACTTCACTTCCTTCCTGCACTTCCTCTTAAAGATAATGTGTCTATTGTTGTTGTTGTTGTTGTTATGTGCCATCGAGTCGGTTCCGACCCATAGCGACCCTGTATAGGGCTTCCGAGGGTGTAAATCTTTACGGGAGTAGAAAGCCTCATCTTTCTCCCGCGGAGCAGCTGGTAGTTTCGAACCGCTGACCTTAAGGTTCGCAGCCCGATTCGTAACCACTACGCTACCAGAGCTCCTTATTGACCCCAGTTACTTCCCTTAAAGAGAGGACAGTGGATGCTGCAGAGGGATTGGGTGACTGGTGGCAAGGTGGAGGAGGTGCAAAGGCTGGTGCAATGGGTGGAAGGTGTAGACAATCAAATACTTCTTGGGTATCCAAATGTGCTAGTATTTTGGTTTTAAGTACACACTCACCTAAGCCAACTGTTTGAGTCTGACCATTGTTCCCCTGGTCTTTTAGGTTAAAATGTCCAGATCACTTTTAGAGTCTTTAAGAGCAATTCTCACCCACCTCCCCAGCCTTCCCTGGACATCTATCCCTTCCCCGAATCTGCTCCTTTTCTGTACCATAGAGTAAGGGATTGGGACTGTCCCCACCTTCTCTCAAGCTTCTGCCCCTCTCCTCCATCCCTCCCTCAATTCACATATTTTCATACTGGGGGACTCTGGTTAAAATAAACACTAAGAGGAAGGTTTCCAGATAAAATACAAGCTTCTGTTAAATTTTAAACCTATATAAACTGTAAATAATATTTAGTGTAAGTCTATCCCATGCAATAGTTGGAACCTGTTGTTGTTGTTAGGTGCTATAAAGTTGGTTCTGACTCATAGCGACCCTGTGCTCAACAGAACAAAACACTGCCTGTCCTCCACCAGCCTCACCATCCTTTGTGTTTGACCCCACTGCTGCTGCCATGGTGCCAACCCATCTGGTTGGGAGGTCTTCCTCTTTTTCCTGACCCTCCACTTTACCAATAATGATGTTCTTCTCCGGGCACTGGTCCCACCTGCTAACATGTCCGAAGAATGCTTCTAAGGAGCACTCTGGTTGCACTTCTTCCAATACACATTTGTTTGCTCTTCTGGCAGTTCGTGGTACTTTCAATATTCTCTGCCAACACCATTATTCAAACGCATTGATTTCAATTGTCTGCCTTAGTCACTGTCTAGCTTTATATACATATGAGGCAACTGAAAAACCATGACTTGAGTCAGGCATACTTCAATCCTAAAAGGGACATTTGAAATATATATATATACTGAAAAAGGATTCATTATTATTTATCTGAAGGTCAAATTTAACTAGGTGTCCTGTAACCCTAATCAAGAGACTCCTGGAGAAGAAGCGGCAGCTACACTCACTGAGCCTCAGTGCTGGAAGGACAAAGGGGATTGCTGGTGAGCAAACATGAGGAGACGAATGATGATGGTCTAGGTGTGTGGTTAACAGCCCCTGAGATGATTCCCAATGATTCTCGCCTTCTGCTATTGATTTCTTTGTGTAATCCTCTCCAGTTGAGTGGGGACTGGACTTATTGACTTGTTTCTAATAAGTAGAATGGCATGAATCATGGGATATCACTTGCAATATCAGGTTATAAAAAGACTGCTGGGGAATTTCTCTTGTTCTTTCTTGGATTTCTCTGAGGAAAGCCAACCACCCTGTTGTGAGGTGGCCCAGTGAAGAGGCCTACAGGAACAAGCCTGGAAATGGGTCTTCTAAGACCTGACAACATCCAGGTGAGTGATCTTGGAAGTGACCCCTCCCACAGAAAAGCCTCGACATCTCTGTGGTCCCTGCCCATGTCTTGCTTGCAGCCTTTATGAGCGGCTTTGAGCCAGAACAACCCAACTAAGTCACCAGATTGTTGACTTACAGAAATTATGAAACAATAAATGCTTATTATCTTGAGTCATTTGTTGTTGTTGTTAAGTGCCATCAAGTTGGTTCCGACCCATCCCAACCCTGTATAGGGTTTCCGAGGAGCAGCTGGTGAGCTTCAACCTCTGACTTTGTAGATGGGGATAATTTGGTCTTTATCAATAGTTAAACATTACAAAACAAAAACAGGTTGTTATTGAGTCAGTTATAACTTGTGGAGACTCCATGGGTGTCAGACTAGAATTATGGTCCAAAGGGTTTTTAATGACTGTTTGTTTGGTTTTTAGTGGATTGCCAGAGCTTTCTTCCAACGTGCCTCTGTGCGGACTGAAACCACCAACCTTTACAAAGTTGCAGTAAAAAGTCTTACTTCTGACTTCACACAAGCTCAGGATCGCTTCCTAGGGTCACTAACAAGCCACCAGTCACTGTAGAAATTCCAGATTGCTGGCTATGTCACTTTTTTGTGTGTATCCAGTTTCCTTTTCAGGGGTCTGACTAAACAGAACTGGAAAAACAATCACAAAATATCAGATGAGGACGCTCTTGAGGATTATGAAATTTAGCCTCTTTGTGGACCAGGAGTCTGAAGCCCAAGGAGGGAAACTTCCTCTGTGGAGGTCATCAGCTCAATTTGGACAGATCCCAAGCTAGAGTCCAGTTGCTGGATCCCAAGCCAGAACTTGAGCACTATACCATGTGTCTCTCAAAATTTCCTACCAGGGAGCATGTCAGACCGGGATTCTGAAGATAAAATGAGACTCCTGATGCTAATCCAAACACAGACAGTCCTGTTGTGGTGGGAGAGATACACCCTCACTGTGCCAACAGTCCTCCTGGGCCTGGCCTTCTCCCTTCCCACACCCCCTAACTCCAACCACAACCCTTATTCCTGATATGCGGTGCTGACCACCTCCCCTCCAAAAAGGAGCCTTCTCTTTTGTTCTCTTTACCATCATAGCTCTGTGAATGAGAATTATGGTCACTAACTTGCTGAGAGGCCTTGGACAAATCAATTGATCTCTCTCTGGAAAGTGGAGGTTTGGATGAAATAAGCTCTATCTAGAGCTCTATCAAGGAGCTCTGGTAGCAAAGTGGTTACGAATTGGGCTGTGAACCACAAGTTCAGCAGTTCGAAACTACCAGCCATTCTGCGGAAGAAAAATGAGACTTTCTGCTCCTGTAAAGATTTACAGCCTTGGAAACCCTGTATAGGGTTGCTATGAGTCAGAACCAAATCTGCGGCACATAACCACCACCACCACAGCCCCTGCACAAGACCTTTTTAAAGTGTTGAAGAGCAGAGATGTCAGCTTGAGGACTAAGGTGCACCTGACCCAAGCCATGGTATTTTCAATAACCTCATATGCTGTGAAAGCTGGACAGTGAATGAGAAAGTCTGTAGAAGAATTGATGTTTTTGAGTTATGGTGTTGGAGGAGAACATTGAAAGTGTCATGGGCTGCCAAAAGAACCAACAAATCTGTGTTGGAAGTAGTGCAGCCAGAGTGCTCCTTGGAGGCTGGGATGGCCAAACTTTGTCTCTCATACTTCAGACACATTGTCAGGAGGGACCAGTCACTGGAGAAGGATATCATGTTTGGTAAGGTGCAGGGTCAGGGAAAAAGAGTAAGACCCCCAGCAAGATGGATTGGCAAAGTGCCAATGGGCTCAAGTGTGGCAACAATTGTGAGGTTGGCCCAGGATTGGGCAGTGTTTTGTTCTGTTGTGTATAGCGTTGCTATGAGTTGGCACTGACTCGATGGCACCTAACAGCAACAACAACAACATAGCCCCTGCTACAGTCTTGGTGTGGTGCTGTGGGTTAGTGCACTGGACTACAAGGTCACCTTGAACTGCAAGGTTGACAGTTCAAGCTCACCAGCCAGTCCTCAGAAACCCTATACAGGGTCACTATGAGTCGGTACTGGCTCCGATGGCACTTAACAACAGCCCCTGCTACCTCTTCAATTATTTCCGCTGGAAGAGGACTTCCTCGATGGATAACCATAGAACACTGCCTGCTTTCAGGTTTTCGCAGGAGACTTCAGGAGGAAAAGGTATGTTTTCACTTCTCATCCTAAGCCTTGGCAGCCTCACAGAACAGACAGCCTGCACCCTGGAATGTGCCCCCTACTGAGGGCCTGGCTGGCTGTGTTTGTGAAACGAGTTTGGGACTTTGGGACCAGATACCCACTACACACCTGTGCACGTAATGTTGACCTCAAAGATTTCCTTACTGACTTTGTTGCTGGCCATGCACGTGAATGATGGTGTCTGTCTGATGCTCCAGGTGTGTGTGATGATGGTCTGATTGCTTTTTATGATACTGTTTCCATTCTGAAGCAGTTGTAGTTCAGGATTATCTCCCTTCGTGACCTCACAGCTCAGAGTTTTGTTGGCACAGCTCCAGGTAATATTTGGTACTGAGACCATCTCTGAAAAGATTAGAAAGAACCAATTCGAATTAGGCAGTTTTCTGATTTTAATGGCTATGGGTGAATGCACTGAACCGCAAAGATGGTTTGAACTGAAAGGTCGGTCGTTCAAGCTCAGCAGCTGCTCCTAATAAACCCTATAGAGGGTCACTATGGGTCAGAACCGACTCGACGGCACTTAACAACAACAACCTATCTATATGGACTCCAAATTCATAACCCACTGCTCCACCAGGGCTCCTCCACCCTGTCCCTAGTAACCGCTAATAAACTTTGGTCTCTATGCATTCACCTATTCTAGACAGCTCATATAAGTAAGATTACATAATGTTTGCCCTTTCATGTTTCATTTCACTCAGCATAATGTTTTCAGTGTATCAAAACTTCATTACTATTTATGGCTGAATATGTCCATCCCTATTTTTGTTCACTTGTTCTTCCAACATTTATTCCTCACCCCTAGGACTCTGGTGTGGCGCTGCAGGATCAGCACTGGACTGCAAACCACAAGGTCAGCAGTTCAAACCCACCAGCTGCTCCTTAGAAACCCTATGCAGGATCTCTCTGAGTCAGAACCAATTCCATGGCACTTAACAACCACAGCCTATTTATAGAGGAGGTATTAGCGTCAATTTGGGAACAATTGTAACGCTCCCTTTTAGAATGTTAGAAAATTAGTTTTAGAAAATTATTTGACAAAATAAATGTTATTTTATTTTCAGAAAAAGACATGCTTCTGATACAGTTCATAGATACCAGTTGTTGTTTTTTAATTTTTTTTTTTAACATCCTATGTTTCTGTCATGCTTTATAGCTTAAAATATTTTCATATACTTGATATCATTCAATCCTAGCAAACTTAGAAGCTGATGGTTTTCTTCCTATCTATGGCTGTAGGAGCCCTGGTGGCACTGTGGGATAAGCATTGGACTACTAACTGCAAGGTCACCCATTCAAACCCACCAGCTCTGTGAGAGAAAGAAGAAGCTCTCTGCTCCTGTAAAGATTCACAGTATCAAAAACCATGTTGTTGTTAAGTACCATCAAGGTCGAGTCGCTTCCTACTCATAGAGATCCTGTTTAGAGTTTCTGAGGAGTGGTTGGTGAGCTTGAATCACTGACCTTGTGGTTCAAATAAACCTTGCATCCAGTGCATTAACCCACAGTGCAACACCCTATAGAGCAGTTTTACTCGACCCTATAGTAGTTATGAATCGGGCTGCTAGCCTCAGGGTCAGCAGTTTGAAACTACCAGCTGTTTCACGGGAGAAAGATGAGGCTTTCTGCTCCCATAAAGATTTACAGCCTCAGAAACCCTATGCAGGGTCACTATGAGTCGGAACCAACTCCACTGCACATAACCAACACCATAGGGTCATTATGAGTTGGAATCAACTCAAAGGCAGTGGGCTTTTTGGTGTATGGATGAAATATCCAAGGCTTTGACAAGGCACCTACTAATAAATGGCAGATCAAGACAAGAACCTGCTCTTCTGAGTTCAAATTCAGTAGTATGAGGAGGATGGCCACCATGTCTCAAAGTGTAATGCTTCGAGAACCTTACATTATCTGTTGGGCCTGGCCACATATGAAAGGGTCAGAGCTCCCAGCTCCTCGCAGGGTCCTAGTCTGTGAGTATGTGGGTGCCCTAAGGAGTTAAAGGGAAAGATGCCAGCCTGGGAATCAGGAGCGTTGGTTCTGCCCTCTCTTGGCTCTAGGCTTCTTGACTACATGCTGTGCTTCATGAGTAAGAGAACATTCCCTGCCAATTACCTCAGCATGTGCCAGAGCTTGGGGGTAATTGTTCTATACTGGCCTTACTGGTGGTTGTTCTTACATTCACAGTCATAAACTCCTCACCTCTCCCTTTCTGACATCATAATACTTAAAAGGTGTCATTAAAAAGGAAGAAGACCTGGCTTTGGCATTAGATAGTCCGGGCTTGTAGCCTAGCTCTGCAGCTCCCTAGTGCTGAAGATGACCATAATCTTATCTGCAAGTAGCTGTACATCTGTCTCCCATGGCTGAGTGAAGAGGAAATGAGTTAATGAATGCATGTAAAAATGTAGCGTTAATGCTTGGCACACACCAGTGGGTTTACAATACCAGCACAAGTTCCATGGGAGTTTCCATTTCTACCACCCACATCCAGGTTACCCTTAGGACACTGCTGTGTGGGTCCCTCTGAAGAAGAAACATCATCTGTAGGTCCCTTCCCAGCCAGTAGCCACCCTCACTTTGTCAGCTTCAAGAACTGGTTACTCCGGAAATCAGAGAACACAAAAACTCCACCAAGTTCACTTTTCCTCCCTTCTCCCTCTTCTTTGCCTAGCCTCTCCTCTCCTCCTTCTTTTCATTCTCTCACTTTTCATGCAACCTGTGCTCCATCCTCTTTTCCTTGGTTTGATATCTTTCTCTCAGTTCCTGTCCATTCATTATACAGATTGACAATTGATTCTTTAATGATTCCCTCCCTCCCTAACTCCCAAGCAACACTATGTTCCCCATGAATGTCCCCAACCAGATTTCATTTCCACCACCGTCTACAAGCATGCAGCAATAGTTTCATTTCCATACAGAGCAAAGAGACTGAGGAAACTTCAACAAACAACTAGCTAGCTTCAGTGTGTGGTCTAGGGGTGGGGTCCAAGAATCTATTTGTCTTTTCAAATTGAAGGTTGGTATTTTCCTATGTACAGTAAAACCTAACAAGGCAGGATCTGTGCAAGGTAGAAACCTGACAAAGAAGGAAAACTCAAATATTTTCCACTAAAATGAGCGACAGAAAATTGATATAAGACTGTACCCTGTCAAAGGCCGAAAACTGGTGTGAAAAGCAAGGCTGCTTTTCACAATGAAGTTTGATTTTCACAGGGTTCATTGTATAGTATCAATGCAATCATTGTCAAAATGGACAAAACACCTTTTAATGTTTAAAGAAGACTAAAAATCACCTACAATTCTACAACCCAGAATCAATCATTATTAATACATGTATATATTTTAACCAGGTATTTTATATGCATATGTTGTTGTTAAGTGCCATCGAGTCAGTTCCAACTCATAGCGACCCTGTACAGGGTTTCTGAGGCTGTAAATCTTTACGGGAGCAGAACGCCTCATCTTTCTCCCGCGGAGCCGCTAGTAGTTTCGAACTGTTGGCCTTAAGGTTCGCAGCCCGATTTGTAACCACTACGCTACCAGAGCTCCTTATATGCATATATACACATATAAACAATTCTCAAATCTTAAAACTGAATTCTATGCTTTTTGTGTAGTCTGTCTTTTGTACCACACTGATCCGTTGTAAGTTCTTTCCTTTATGAACATCAATAAATACATATCTCCACCCTATTTTAAAATAATGCATTCATCATTTCATAAGTGTCCACCTGTTGGGAACTTTTCAATTCTTTTCATTATTTTATTAAAATCAATAGTGCCAACAGTATTCAGCCTGTGTAGCTTTATCTTTGTCCATCTCCTTTCTATAAGAGCGATTCTTAGAAGTGCCACAGCTAGATCAAGCGGGTGACATTTTTAAGATTTCCTTAATATGGAAGAACTCTTTGATTCTGACTGGGATCACTTCCTTCTCCACTAACATCTGTGTCTAAGGGCTCTTCAGCCAGTGAATGCCCAGCCCCCACCTTGAGGAGATGTGGGCCCCAGGACTGAAGTTGAGGGAAACAAAGAAGGGTAAGCAAACACATACACGTCTCAGGCTCTGCAAAGCACAGTTATTTACATTGTCTCATTGAAGACCTCAATGTCCCTTGAAGTTGTTATTACTGTAAAAACCAGACTCAGAGAAGATAGGAAATTTGCTCAAGACCATGCAGGGAGTCACGGTAAAAGAATACACATGTTTGCACAACAGTGTTGTGGAAAGATCACTGCTCTTTCACTAAGAGGGACAGAATTTCTTTTGGGAATAATGAAAAAAACTATAAATCAATTGTGGTGATTGTTATATACAACTGTGGATCCCAAGGGGCTTTGAAAAGTTCATGGAAAAATTGAACAAAAAGATCATGGAATTTTTGCCCATGAACTTTTTGAAGCCCTCTTGCATACTAAAAGTCATTGAACTGTGCACTTTAAATGGATAAGTATTATGATGGATTATATCAATAAGTTTATTTAAAACATAAAGATCACTGCCTTGCCAACAGGAGCCCTGGATTTTCAATCCTGGCTTTTGAGCAGTCACTTCTACCTGGGTCTCTTGTCTCCTTATAGATTGTTGTTAAGTGCCATTTAGTCGGTTCTCATCCATAGTGACCCTGTATAGGGTTTCCAAGGAGTGGCTACTGAGTGACTTTGAAACCACTGACCTTTCGGTTCAAACCGACTTTGTGATTGAGTGCCTATTCTACATCAGCACACCAGGACTACGCCTCATAGGGGAAGGGGGAAGTAACTAGCTCTCTGCTCACCTGGTATGGTGCTGTAAAATCAGTACTGTACTAGACTGTGAACCACATGGTCACCAGTTCAAAACCACCAGCTGATCCTTGGAGACCTTATACAGGGTCTCTATGAGTTGCAATTAACTCGACAGCATTTAACAACAACAACAACTAGCTCCCAGGGTCATGTTTCAAATAAGATCACGTATGTGAAGCACAGGGCATCTAGTCATAGTTGAGTTAGGGCAGCCATGACACGAAATGAGACACAAGTAGAAAAACTCAAGCACGGAACCCTATAGGACCCTTGGACCCTTGCAGGCTACAGTCATGAAAGCCATGGTCCTGAGTCCCTTTGGATCCACTCTCAACCCCACCCAACTTCTGGACAATTTCTCCAGAAGGGTACAAGACTAGGTTTGTTGTTGTTAGGTGCCATCGAGTCAGTACCGACTCATAGCGACCCAATTACAACAGAACAAAACACTGCCCAGTTCTGGGCCAACCTCACAATTGTTGCCATGCTTGAGCCCATTGATGCTGCCACTTTGCCAATCTATCTCGCTGGGGGTCTTCCTCTTTTTCTCTGACCCTCCACCTTATCAAATATAATATCATTCTCTAGTTAGGTAGGATACAGAAAATGATCCTTTTCAAAGGACTGATGATGTCTGGGAGTGTTGAAGTGGAGCTGGAGTTTCCTGCTGAGGGCAGAGCTGGAAGGGCGACAATAGGTAGGAGGAAGGGTCCCTGCCTCTGGTGATGTTTCCAGTGTGAAGCCCACGCTTGTTTATTTGATCACTGAGTTGCAGGATTTTTCTCATGCTGGTGTTTTTTCTTCCTCTCTGAGTCAAATGCAGCTTCATCATCTTAGTTCCCCTTGTCGCTCCCTGTCCTGTGTCCCCTGAACTTCCTATTCAATGTCATTTCCACCATTCCCTCAGCCAAGCCATCTTGCCTATCCATAAGCAGCCCTCATGATACTCATGCCATATTCTAGACACCCTTTAGTCTCTGCCAGTGGTTACCAATGTAAGAACCCATCTGGAGATTCTGTATGGTCCAGAATCTCATGGGGACTTTTAAGAACCTAACAATGCTCACCTAGGCTCTGTGTTGAGAAATGTTGAAGATGTTTGTGCATTGGTGACTGACTTATAATAGATTCCCAGTTGGTTCTAAATGTGCAATCAGGATTCAAAGTCACCAACCTCTTCACTTCTTTTACATTATAGCAGAAGCTTCCTGTCTGCACTTTTCTCTTCCATCTTCAATATCCACTCCTACCCTTCTAGTACATGTACATCCTGCGTATTTTCTACACAAACCAGCAAAATCTACCTTTCATCGTCAATGAGATCAGAAACAAAGCCCTCTTCATCCTCAGATTCATTCTTCATTATCCTTTCCTGCCATTTAACTACTCCTTCAGAGGACTCTAGCTTGGAATTGTCTCTTCAGCTGAAAGACCCGCTTCCTTCTAGTCAGTCTCTCCAAACCTGCCCCACACACCTAGCTTGCCCCTTCATCACCTGGAATGGTCACTGTTTTCCTCCTTCTAATTAATGCCGCTATAATCCTGGTACTTCAGCCAATCCCACATTACTGAAACCACCTAAAGAAAGAGTTTTAGACAGACAGACTCGAGAACCTATCAGTTGTGTATTTCCACTTGGGTAGCTTCCATCTCCACAGATCACCATAGTCTCCATTGGGGCAGAAGAGATACATGAGAACTCCACCAGGAGGCCGAAGTCACTATGGGGACATTCCACAAATGCTGTTCATCTACCTGCTAGATAGTAATACATTGCTGAAATGGAGGTATTTAGGAAACAAAGACTTACCTAAAATCCTCAAATCAATAGTACGATCCAGTACGTGTTTTCCATTTTCATGATATACCTCTACTTCATAGATGCAGTTAGAATTTTTCATCAGATTTTTAATGTTCAGAGTTCCATTTCGGAATATGTCATATTTTGGCAATTTGTTGATGCTGCTGCCATTTCGGAATTGTGCAACCTTGATTTTGTCTTCTTTTCTGAGCCATCGTATATCATCTATATCATCAGTCACCTGGAAACCAGGAATGTTCAGGTTGATGTCGTAACCCAGGGCACCCCAGACGATCGTAGCCTCTTCAGAAACTGTACCTGTAAAAAGCAAGATAGTTGCTGAGGTCTTGAAACTCCCTGCTGAGGAACACTGGACTGTGTGTGGCTTCTTGGACTCTTAGATTCACTTCAAGGTCTTCAAAGAAACTTCCAACTGTGGTGGTGGAGACCCACATATGGACTTACCTTTGGTGGACAAGTTGCAAATCAGAAAGAAGGTAGCTAAAATTTTACATGGCAAATTCATTGTTGGGATGGGTTTCCTTGCTGTGATTCTGAGCTTTTCTTGCAAAAGGAACTGAAGTAGGGCTGGTAGAACCCACCCCCAAGAGTAACCACGTGTTTCTCTTTTTTGCTTCTTTTACAGTAGCACAGAATGTGCACCCACGCACATAACTCAGCCAACTGATCCTCTGACACACTCTTTTGCCAAAACAGGTGTGTTTGTAAGTGCATGTTTTCTTACCATATTTTAATCTCATAACACTTCTATAGATTTAATTCTACTCAATAAAGAGAAGAACTGAAAGCTTCAGTAAATCATCCAGAATCGTCTTTCAGTAAATGAGAAGCCAAATTCACCCTTACAACCTGTCTTCTCTCCACTATGCTATATTGCCTCTAGTACGGCCACATAGAAATATGAATACTTGCTGTTTGTAAATGTTGTTGTAGAGTTGGTTCCGATTCATAGTGACCTTGTATAGGGTTTCCAAAGCTTTGAATCTTCACAGGGGCAAAAAATCTCACTTTTCTCCCAAGGAGTACTGGCAGACTCAAGCTGCGGGCCTTGTGGCTTACAGTCCAGTGTTTATTGTATTAACAGAATAAGAATATATATCCTAAGACTATAACTATTGTAAAATGTATACATCTGAATTAATTATGAGAGAAGATTATTTCCCTATCTCCCAAAAAATGTTTTTAATATTCTAAAATTGTTTTTGTCCCCCAAAGAAATAAACATGAATTGATTCTCAGTGGTAAACACTTGAAATCACAAAATCTAATGTTTAGCATATATTTTACAAAACCAGTGAAATTTAAGTTAAATAAATAGAAACTCGATCCAAAACAAAGACACATATAGATGACAAAATACTATTAAAAATGAGAACCAATGATTTAAAAACAAGGTGGTTAACACCATAGTTAGGTACTGGAAAGGGATATGTGGTTGTTGCTAGGTGCTACTGAGTCAGTTCACACTAATAGTGACCTGGTGCACAATTGAATGAAGCACTGACTGGTTCAATGCCATCCTTATAAATGTTACATTTGAACCCAATGTTGCTGCCACTGTTTCAATCCATCTCACTGGGGGTCTTCTTCTTTTTCACTGACCCTCTACTTCATCAAACATGACGTCCTTCGCCAGAAGCTGGTCCCTCCTTACAACATGCCCAAAGTGCATAAGACTTTGCTTTTGAAGAGTATTCTAACTGTACTTCTTCTAAAACAGATTTTTTTGTTCTTCTGGCAATTCAAAGTATTTTCAATATTCTTCACCAACATCATAATTCAAAAACATCAGTTCTTCAGTGGTTTTCATTATTCATTCATGAGCTTTCACATGAATACAAGGTGATTGAAAACACCATGATATAACTCAAGCACACCTTAGTCCTCAACTAACATCTTTTCTCTTAACCACTTTAAAGAGGCCTTTTGTAGCACATTTACTTAATGCAATACACCCTTTGCTTTTTTTTTTTTTAAGCCAAAATAACCTTTTTATTGTGAATTTGGTGAAGGTTTACAGATCAATTTTACATCCAATAATTTATATACATTTTGTTTCATCTCTTTGATTGCAATCCCGCACAATGTAACATCGCTTATCTCACTTTCTCCCTGTGTGTTTCCTGTGTCCATTTTTCCTTGTTTCCTAACTTTGTCCTTAGATAAATGCTATCCTTATGATCACAAATGGTTGATTATTCTACTGTGTGCATAGCACTAATGTACTATTGCCCTCCTAGACCTTATCTATGGTTTGACTGAAAATTGAGCCATAGAGTACATGTTGTTGCTGTTGTTAGGTGCCATCCAGTCAGCACTGACTCATAGCGACCTTATGCACAGCAAAACAAAACACTGCCCGATCCTGGGCCAACCTCACTACTGTTCCCATGCTTGAGTCCATCGATGCTGCCATTTGGCCAATCCATCTCGTTGGGGGTCTTCCTCTTTTGCTCTGACCCTCCATCTTACCAAATATGACATCCTTCTCCAGTGACTGTTCCCTTCTGACAGTATGTCCGAAGTATGAGAGATGAACTTTGGCCATCTTGGCCTCCAAGGAGCACTCTGGCTGCACTTCTTCCAAAACAGAACAGATCTATTGGTTCTTTTGGCAGCCCATGGCACTTTCAGTATTCTCCTCCAACACCATAATACAAAAGCATCAATTCTTCTATGGTCTTCCTTATTCACTGCCCAGCTTTCACATGGATATGAGGTGATTGAAAATACCATGGCTTGGGTCAGGCACACCTTAGTCCTCAAGCTGACATCTTTGCTCTTCAACACTTTAAAAAG